GGACTTGTCGGCGGTCGCTGCTGCGTGATTGGGGTGGCGTGTGTCTCAGCGGCATCGGTGGCGGTGGTGAAGTCGCTTGCGGAGGCGATGGCGGGGGCGGTGCGGATGGGGACCGTGGCTGCGCCGTGGAGGTTGGAAGCGGCTGTGACTGGGACGGCAGTGGTGACTGCCGTAGTTAGCGGCGATATTGGCGTCGGTCGTTGTAGAGGTCGCGGCTGCAAAGCAGTGGCGGCAGCCAATGTGACGGTAGCATCAAATCCAAAATGTTTTAGATGGTCTAACTCAGCGATGGGAGTCACTAGATCAAGTGGTGAGATCGCTCTGCATCTACGTCTGGGTACCGGTGCTCAAATTTCTGCCAATTAATGTGGAGTTGGTGGTGCGGATTTGCTGTCGGGTTCCTACCGGTTCTTTGAGTTCCCCTGTCTCTAATTCCATCTCTCCTGACTCCAATTCTACCTTTAGCGAATAGATGAATCAACTTCCATATAATACCATCATTACGCTTAAAAAAAATATTCATTTCAGAATCGACCGACAGGATCCAATGATCTCCGTTGCATTGTCGCAGAGCGTAGACGTGTGACGCGGGGCCAGACCGCGCAGGAACGGATGGAGCGGACGCAGCGAAGCGGATCTGCGGGGGCCGGGGGAGGTCGGATTGTTGGTCAGTGAGAGGAGACGGAAGCGGCAGGAGCAGAATGAGAGAGGGGAGCGGAAGCGTAGGGAGGAGTGGGCGGAGCGCTGGGCAGGCGGGCGGGATGGCGGGACGGGAGATGTGGGGCGGGCCGCCACTGGAAGCCGGTTAGAGCGAGCGAGACTGGCGCAGATGCGTTCGTGATATACTCGTATAACCCTCTAACTGCTAAGGGCCCGTCGACTATAAGTTTTGCGTCTTGCGGCAAGCTCCTCGCTGCGAGCTCGCTCGCACGTAGATGGGAGAACACGGAACACAGCATCTCAGTTATCAAGCAGTCCTAGCGATCGCCGAAAGCGCGTGTGCGCGAGCGAACTCGTCCAGAGGCTCCTTGCGACGACCTGACTGAGCGTAATAACTCGTCCAGAGGCTGCCACTCACGGAAATACTTTGCGTATTAACTTCTCTGGAGCAGGACTAATAATAACAACAGATTCTCAAGACAACAAATTGTGAAATCTACATCTCGCAATATATTGCTGTTTTATTAGCTGTTTATTCTTGGCACTTTATTTAATTTATTTCCACCTGTGCGATATTTGTGGTGTTTCAGGGTGCACATGACACAGAGATTTTGTGCATAACCGAGGATATTGCTGAGAGATAAATTTCAACAAAACCGTTTGTGATTGATTATGATAATGATGAAAACATTTAAAAATAAATTTGGAAATTCACTTTTGTGAGGGGTTATAAAATGTATTATGGTAAATGTGATATTGGTGTGCTATTGTATGGTAAAAATTGTTATGGTATTGTGGAAAATGTATTATAAGATTTGTTCTATATGCCTTTGTGAAAGATTATCTCTAGTGACGCAATATTTCATTCCGAACCGTTGGTGTAAAAGAGTCTTTTTTAATTTGAGCAACTCTCGAAAAATGAAATGTGTTCTAAATAATCAAATCTTTAGAAAGGGCATGTGCAATTTTTTGAAAAAATTGTTTAAACATAATTTTCGCGTTATTTCTACTCAAAGAGAGTGCAGTTTATATAAAAAACCTTTCATTTTTTAACATACAAGTACAATTTTTGACCATGCACAGTAAAACAACTTTAAAATAGCACTGGTGTCATTTTCGTTGTAACCTTTGAAGTTTAGAAAATTGCATAAGTTAAAAATAATGGAAGATTCTATTAGTTTGTTAAGCGTCGACCTATGTGAGTACATCAGAGAGTTTGCTTGGTTTTGCAGAAAAACGCATGACGAGTTAACTTCATGGACATGAGTTCGAATCTCGGTGCTGAGATAGAATGTTTGCTGGCTAGAATCACGTTTGCACCTCTTGCAGTAATATAATATTGTGTAGCCGTTACAAACAATGCAAGAAAAAAGTGTGCTGATTTAGCCCCATTAGTTTGTCTTTCATATTTTTGATGCAATTCTGAATTAGTTATTTCTTGTCCAGTTGTACTTTTATGATATTTGTGTCGTTAGCGTCTTAGGGATCATAAAACCGTTAATATTTCTTAGAGAATAACATATTTTGAATGAATAGTAAAATATATCCGATGTGGTCTTAATGTTTGTTATTTCATAATCAGTGTTCGACTTTGCATTTTGCTATTTCGTAATGCAAGTTAGTTAAGAGGAGAACGTGTTAGTGATTGACGTTGTACGCCTTTGATGTTTTATGTGATGCTGTGTAGAAAATGATGCTGAGCGTAAGTAGATTACTTACTAGCAATAGCGGGGCCTTTCACCACTTGTTTCTCCGTGCAAGTTCTTGTGGGTTTCACAGTGCTTCTTGAATAATAAAGTAGACTTACCCGTTCGACATCGTTATCCACTTGTCTTCTTTCGGTTGTCTGATAGAATAGTAGAAAGTGACAAGCGTGCTTTCTTATGGTAGAATTCCATATACTTAGAGAATTGCTATTTTCGTAGGATGATGTACAGATATAAAGGGAATAATTGAAAGACATGGGTTCAGGAGCCTAACAGACATAAATAATTAACTTAAATAAAAAAATATATTTATCTTATTTTAGATATAGGATTACCGTAAGATGAAAGTAAATTTCGCTTTATACATCCTATAATGGTAAATATAACGATAATATATTATAATTTTGGAATTTGAAGAATTATGTCTTACTTATTAAAGGTTAAAAAACCTTTAATAAGTTAGACATAATTCTTCAAATTCCAAAATTATAATATATTATCGTTTACTGTGATCTACGTTATATAGTACTGTATTAATTAAAAACACTCTAAACGTGTTTTCTCTGCGTGTAGCTTAATACGATAATTATTTAGAAATGTAATTTATTGAACACGATATCGTAGAGTGAAATCGGCATTACCCAGGATTTGTTTCAAAATGAAAAACATAAACATATAAAAGCAAACAAAAAAATATATTTGGCAAATAAAATTGTAATACGTAGCAACTTGATTGAGTTACTTGATATTTACTACCTCTAACGCCGCAAATTCAGTTATATATTGTGTTTTACTAATTACTAGTAAGTTCGTTTTTAATTGAGTTTTGAGCTGATAAACAAAATATTTTTAATATCCGGGAGTTTTCATCCGCTGTGAAACCCTTTCTCTCCTTCTTCTCTCAGGAACCCCGTAAATGGAGGTGGCTAACTGGTGTAGATGCCAGTTTCATCGTCCTAGCATCACTATTTGTTTTGGAGAATGAAAAAAAATCCTAAAGCACATTATTTCAGTAAAACGTATTTAAGAATCCGCGGGAGTACGTTGAATAAACTTTATAGAAAGACGTCTTTTAAAGCAGTCGTTTTTAGTAACGATAATCGAGTTTGAGGCAGCTCGGAGAGGTTTTCTTTAATGCCGGCGTCGTCTGGCCCCGCGTTGCTCTCCGTCCTGTGCCCTCGAGAGCCGCGGAGCGCAGAATTCACTTCTGTTGTCGTGGGCGTTCACCGGAAGCGTTATCCTTCCCCGTCTTTTTTTTCTCTCCCCTGCGTCGCCACTCCCGTCCGCTTCCTCAGCGTTATCTCCGGCAGATGCGCGCGTCTGGCGCGCGTTCCGACGCCGCTTTCTGCGCGCGCCGCACCGCTCCACTCGGCCCGCCGCCTGCTCCAGGGCTGCGTTTCCAGCGCAGATCCGAACCCCTGAGGCTGGGGCGCAGACATTCGACATAGCCGGCCGCACGGAATGTAATGATGGTAGTGTTCATTCCTTCTCTCTTTCTCTTTCCTTCTCTCTTTCTCTTTCCCTCTCTCTTTCTCTTTCCCTCTCTCTTTCTCTTTCTCTCTCTTTCTCTTTCCCTCTCTCTTTCTCTTTCCCTCTCTCTTTCTATTTCCCTCTCTCTTTCGCTCTCTCTTTCTCTCTCCCTCTCTCGCTCTCTTTCCCTCTCTTGTTCTCTTTCCCTGTCTCGTTCTCTTTCCCTCTCTCGTTCTCTTTTCCTCTCTTGTTCTCTTTCCCTGTCTCTTTCCCTCTCTCGTTGTCTCTCCATCTCTCTTTCGCTCTCTGTCTCTCGTTTTCTCTCCTCCCTTTAACTCCCCTCTCTTTCTCCCTCTCTCTTTCTTTTCTCTTTCCCGCTCTCTCTTCTACCTGACTTTCTAATCCTGCCGTTCTCCTTTCTCTCTCTCTCTCTCTCTCTCTCTCTCTCTCTCTCACACACACACACACACACACACACACACACACACACACACACACACACACGCTCTTTCTAACTCTTTAGCTCTCTTAGGAGTGAATTCTTAACAGTTTCGAATGGAAAGCATGATATACGAGTATCTTATCCTAGGTAAAGATTATTTCCCAAAAGTCTATTAAGAGCTGACTCGACCTGAGGTATGAACAACACAACCCCCTCTATGACAGACACAACAAGGAATTTTCCGTGCCGCCTCGTACCCAGGACCCTGCGGAGCGAGGCGTTGTGTGGGTAGGCGCTATGAATTGTTCTCTTGTAGAAATGAATCTCTCTCTCTCTCTCTGTAGGCGCAGTCTCTTGTTCATTTTTAAAAGTACTTAAAAGATGTTGTCAGAAGCCACGTAAAAGTGTTTTTATATCAAAAAAATTATTTGTTTATTTAAGTGTTTATTTAATTCATTTATTTATCGTATATCCTGATGAGTGGAATTGTCAATCATTGTCAATCACAAATATGACGTGGAATGTTCAAAATAATAGGCCTCACGTGGTGGTCATCCTCCCTTAATATAATTGAAATGCATATCCTAACACAAGCAAACCAAATCCCTAGAGAATGTTCACACATTGATTGACTCGTCTCCTTGCAAATAGAATACTTAAACATTTCGAGCTACTTTTCTCTTGATTAAATATTAAAAGTTTTATTATTAATTAAGTTGTAGTTAAATCCACTAAAAGAGCCATTTGCGAGCCCCAATGCAGCGGAACCGCCTCATGGCCGGAAGGGATGTGGTTTCGCTTTCCGGACTGGGAAGGGGCGGCGCGGGCGGGCTTGCGCGTATGCAGCGGCGGCCGCTGCCGCACCGGCCGGCCAGGGGCCTCCGCGCGCCGCGAGCCGTGACGTCCGCGCGTCCTTTAAAGGGCGCCGGCGCCGCGCCCCCGCGACCTCAGCCCCCGACCTTTGCCGCGGGCACGCGCCCTTCCACGCCCTGCCCCTCCATGCCCCGCCCTGCCCCCGGCTCGACCTCCGCGCCCGCGCGGTGTTCGATCTGCCTTTAAAGCGGGCGATGAATAATCCATAAGCCATCATTGTCTACGTTCAAACCCGTTTCAAGCCAAGTAAAGTGTGTGCGTTTTCACATGTCGCTAATGTTCTGGGTATTAGAAGAAGTAAAATATAGACATGCTTTAATTGGAACTAAAATTGACTACATAATTCAACGTACTACGTAACAATACACGTGTTTGGCCCTTTGCACGATGGTTGTGCAGTATTAGTCAGCCCTGACCAGGAATTTTAAGGTTTGGAGGGCTTGTTATTTTGCAAATCAATTGTATCGAATGTTCTTAATTTATTGAAACTCGTTTCTACGAATACCGTGGACAGCTCCGAGAGGAGAAGGGAAAAGGGAGCCGTGGTCTTCCGTGAAAATACGCACATTAAAATAATTAAATTGTATTTAAATTACATTCCGAATATTCTCCCAAGTTCGCCTCTGTTCGAAGTTTTCTCTCGGTGCATCGGTGTCCGAGGTTTTCATTTGCGAATAGTAACATCGACTTGCGTTACTCATGAATGCAAACGTAACGAAATTGTTCCCCCTGTGCCTGTCCTAAAATAACGATGCCTTCACAGGTTGCCAAAAGTGATTGCAGCTTTTTGGGGGATTAACTACGAAGCAGGTGTGCCAACGGTGATGCAATCGGGGAGTTCCTCTTCCCGCAATCACGTCCACCGGTGAAAATCAGGAGGTGCCGCATGTATTTCGTCACAGTTTTACCAACCGGCGGGTGGCCACAGACGCTGGTGCATCACGAGTGAAAAGGAACGCGTAAAATTGGCACAGTTTGTGCACCCCTTTGCGCACGTCCTCCCTTTGACTGAGCGCTCGCGCGTCGCCGGCCAAACGTAAATAACAGCCCCACGCGCCTCGTCCGGCAGCACGCGCGGGCGCGGGCGCCCCCTCCTTATATGGCTGTTTCCGAAGTTGGGCCACGCCCCCTTCTCAACCCGGTTCCTCTTTCCACGGTGGAAGGGTGGGTGTTAGGTCGGTTCACGGAAATGGCCCCGGAGGTGGCGGCGACTGCGCGCGGTAGCCTGGCGCTTCCGGAGGGAAGTGTGCGGAGAGGCGGGGAGAAGAAGAGGAAGTGGTGGTGAAGGAGAAGGCGCTAACTGAAAGGAGAGTGCGGGTGAGGGCGCGAATTTTCTCGCCGCGCCGGGGGCGTGGGAAGAGAGTTGGAGCTCAGTTTGGGGTTCGGGTGTTGGCTGAACTGGAGAGGGTTGGTGTTCCTCGCAAGAAGAATATGTATCGTCTTGAGTGGCTTTAACTTTCCGTGTGGATTTTTGTAAGCTGTTAGTATAGTCGTAGGTACAGCAACAATGTTGATGAAGATGGTGGTCAGGGATAGTAAATTGGGTAGTGAAAAACAAAACAAACTTTCTTGAGCTGCAAAATAAGGTGTTCATTTCGTCACGCACTGAAAAAAGGTAGGAACTAAAGCATTTCACCTTTCAAAAAATTTCTTTTCTGTTTGTCACTGAAGGAATTGGCTCTGATTTTTCTGTTAAGTTACCGACTACATATGACCTGAAAGTTTTCTTGTTGGTATTTCCGAGAACACATGTTGAATTTTACCCTTCATGGAGTTTATTGAATCGGTGTCATACTGCATTTATGTGGAAAAGATGTAGCCCGTCTTGCTCCTGGGAGGTCATCAAAGTGGATATAGAGCATACGCGTTACGAAATTGAAATTGAAGCAGATTATCAGATATTGAGTGAAGCACAATTATAATTTCTATGATTTTCGTTTCTGACACTGTTTCGGAGACTTTCCTCTTTGACAGTGACTCCGCCTTGAAGAGCTACTTCGCTGAATCTGATACAAAGGGATTATTTCATGTGGGTGGGAACGATGAACGTTGTACTTTAATATATATTTTTTATTTGCTTTACCAGGAATAAATTTGTAATGTATACAATTTTAAAATTATGAATGTGAAGGATGTTAAAAATATTTTTTTTGTTTTATGCTGATAAGTTATTGCTTGGCCCTCGATACGGCGCTCCATATACTCTTCATAACCTGCGTCGGGGGGATCGTGTTTACATACAACTATAGTTACTTAACAAATTTAAATATAAAAAATAAAATCATAAAAATCAATCATCATAAACATTTGTAAAAAAGTTAAATCATGTATGTAACACGGGAGTTAACTGGTTCTAACGATCTCTGGGGACAAAAAGCGCTCAGGCCAAAGGCTTTCTGTTTTGATCTTGCCGCTCGAACTTTAGAACCCTTATTACACCTGTGGTACAATCAGAAACACGACAGGTGATGCGATCAGAAACTCGTGCTGGTCTAAACCTGTTTTATATTTTTGTTGGTTTCTATAATTGGCCTAATATTGTACATTTTGTATGGTTTTGGTATGTGGTACAAAGCCTTCGCCCCAAATTTCTGATTGGGCTGTATTCACACGCTGAGAAAGAGCGCGTTCCAACGCGGAAGTGAGACCGAACGATGCACCTGGCAATGCGCAGCCGCGCGCGCGAGAAATCCGCGAGCCTACTTTTCGCGAGGTGTCCAGTGCCGGTAGCCGTCTATTCACGTCTCCCCCCCCCCGCCACTTCCCCCCCCCATCGTTAAATTGACCGCTCCCGCGACGGCGGCGGCCCCGCGGCGGAAAAAGGCGTTTGCATAACGACGCCCACTCCCCCCTCCGTGTCCCCTCCCTGCCCCTCCCCTTCCCTCTCCTCCTCGCCGCGCCCGTCCCCGCTCCTCCCCACCCCTCACAGCCCCTCCCAGCTCCCTCCTCGCTCCGCCCCGCTTTCCTTCTGGCGCGAGCGCTGTTTCGCAACGAGATTTACGCTCAATTTAGCGAATACTTTACGACCGGAATTCGTTTTTCAGAGACATCGTGTAATTAATATGTAAGTAGGAAGGCGACTTTTTTTGTCGTCTGAAGCAGGGACATAAACTTTTACGCGTATTTAAGTATTGGGCCCCTATAATTTATATAAGAGTAGTCAATGGCTTATTAAGAAATTACTTCATCCGCCGGTGTCGAATGTCGTTTCTGTATTATAGTAGTAGGTGACGGGATGAATTGAGTGCGTTTATTTTAGTGCATGGCAGGTTTCGCAGTAATCAGGAAGAAGCCAGTAACTAATGTGTATTGCGCAGGAGTAAAGCTTGGATATAGTTATTAATTACGTACAAGTTCCAGTTAATTCGAAACTGCATTGCAAATGTAAAATCAAAAAGTTCGTTTCCTTGAGAGGCAGGGCTGGATTCTTACTTAAGACGAACTAAGCATGAACTTCAAGAGCACTGCAGGACAAGTTTTCTTTTTTAATTACAATAGTTCAAACATTTATTATTATTTTTTATTTGCAAATGTTTTCATTTATTTTTTCGTTCATTTACTTCTGTTCAATTTTTCATTATTTTTAGATCCCGTCATTTTACTGCACCGGCTGAGTTTATCTCATTGCCGCTGTGTCTGCAGCTCTGACTAAGATACATGTCCTAATATTCATGTCCCAACAGTCGCGGATTTTCGACCTAGCTATATAGCTAGGTTCAATTCAGCCGCTTTCTGAAGGATAATTCTAGCAGTCGCAAGTATTTCGTGATTTCTCCTATCAATACATGGGAAATGCCGGAGCAGAGCCCTAACAAACGGGACATGGACCGCGCGCGATCTTTTCTTCTCCTTCTTTGTTTTATTTTCACCTCTTACACACACACACTTACATGAACTGCACAACCACACATGTCGGGAGCTTAGAGCTTGCTCCAGCGGGGACAATTTTTTTATGTTAAGCTTCACGATCCCAAATAATAACTTTTATGTGTATACCGTTCTTAGTATTCCGTTCTACAAATTATTCTTTAATAAAGTTGTTGTGTGTTTGGTTCCGTCTCGTGCTTTTCCAAATGGACCAAAGACAAATGCTGGAAGAAAGAACGTACTGCAGTGGTTTCTATCGCCGCTTTTCGCTGTTACAATGACGACTGCATGTGCGAATTATTAGATTTGAAACGATGATTGTGAAAAGTAAATCGACAATTACAAAAAAAAGAATTTAATTCACAATGTTTAGAGCTGAAACGTCTAGGACTCTCTTGCCTCAATGACATGGACTGACTTGACTTGGTAACTTACTATCGATTTAGATTTTTTGGCAGGTCACTTCAAGATAACGTTGGATGGCAACCCTTATAACTATATTTTGTTATATATTACAGTTCATATTAAACAAATAAAATTACAAAAATAAGAGTTAAAAATAATAATAGTAATAAACATTAATTTTATATTTAGCATTATTGAAAAATTATTAATTAAAAAATTCTTTGAGCATCACATTTTGTTATTTCTGCTGCACGATTCGCAAAGGCGAAGTTATGTGTAATAATTTTGTCATTCTACTTTGCATTTTCCAAGAATGATGTACTTGATCCTTCTAATTTTGTGTATTTGTGATCATTCTCGCACATGTTGTAGCCGTTCCCACTGTCGCCTTCATCTGCCCCTGTTCGCACTCTGCTCGCGGAAACCCGCCCGGTCCGACTTCTTGCAAAGCCGGCGAGGGAGGGGGGAGAAGTGGCGTGGAGGTGCGGGACGGGGCGCGAGGCGGCGTGGCGCGGCGGGCTCGCGGGGCCCATATTTCTGGCGGA